TAAGTACTTTAAATTTGGTGGAAATCGGTTCAGATATATCTATAGCTCCCATATTTATGTTTCATCCGATTTTGGTGTGTAAGTCCCTTACATTAGGAATATACACCCCATAAAAATGTTATTTGGTACCAGATATTACATTCAGCCTAGCAGTACATGATTTAAATTTTATCAAGATCGGATCAGATTAGGATATAGCTTCCCTATATATCTTCGTCCGATTTTAGGTTTATTGTGCACCAAATGGCTAATATTAGTTCAAATGGATTTTCGCACTTCAACCTAATTTATTTGCTCAAATTTGCTTCCATATATATGTTTCATCCGATTTGGTGTTTAAATCTACTGGATTTCTAAATTATTAAAATAGTTTAAAAAACTATTCTTTATAAAAAAATTAAAAATTAATTTCAAACACCACAAAATTATTTTTTGATAAAACAATATTTAACTATTATGTCAAATGTGTGAATTGAGAGAAATTATGTTATATGTTAAAAATCTTTATAATTTTTGTTTTAGTGCACACGTATCTGAAATGTTCCAGGCCTTGCTTATGTATTATTCTTAACAATTCGAACCAAACAAATAAACAAATTTTAAGTCAACACCAAGCAATTCGAAATACAAACATTGGAATTCGTATGTATGAAGGAATTCAAAACCACATGGATATAGAGAAGATTTATTGTTAAAATTCTCGTTTCTAGGAATTGGTTAGAAAAAATTGACGTTGGAAAGGAAATTCAAATTCTAGGAAGTAGGAATTGAACTTGTAACTTGAATTCCTTGAAAATTATTAAACAATGAAATTCGTGTTAAAATGAACAGTGGCAAATTTTCCGATTTCAACATTATTTAGTAAATATCAACCTGTCAATAGAATAAGATTGGAAAATTGTTTTTTTTTTTCAAATAGGGAAATGGCGAATTTTAAATCAGTAATGTAAACATTGTTCGGGGTAAATAGAGAAAGGGTTGCGCAGTAATTGGACCAAAACTAACAAAAGCAAAACAACAACAAATGTAATCAGCAACTTTGCCATCATTACGCGAAGGTCAACATCATCACCATTAGCAGCAGCAGCAGTAAGTTATCAGTGGCACACCATCATCAACAACGTTGGCCGCTGTTCAGTTGATTAAATAGAAATTTGCTGAAGAGAGATTGCGATTTCCATGGAATGCACCATCCCGCCCTCTAGCATCAACGCCATTCACAGCTGAACAGCGAAAAACCTCCAAGCTAAGGTATAAAAGCTGGGCACTGTTTCCATTTCAACAGCAGTAATTGACAGCAACTGGTCAAGTGCTATTGAAGAGTTTCGTTGTTCTTGTTGTGTCCATTTTTATTCCTTGATTGTTTGCCAAAACATGAATAAGATTTTGGTGAGTAGCATTGGAGGTCCTGGAAAATTGCGTGTTTTTCCCCGTCTTTGTCTGTCAGTGTTGCCGAAAGTCATGAAGATTGATGGACAGAAAAAATCATGAAGTTAAAGGCAAAACAAAAGAAAAAAAAAATTGTGCTGTCAATGGTTTGCCATATGGCGGAGGTGGAAGTAATAAATATGGTGGCTATGGAAGTGGAGGAGGCGGGGGAGGAGGATTTGGAGGTGGTGGTGGCGGTGGAAGTGGTGGCGGTGGAGGTTTTGGCCCTGGTGGCGGCGTAGGACACAGTGGTGACGTTGGAGGATTCGGTCCTGGTTCAGGAGGTGGTCACGGTGGCGGCCTAGGTGGAGGCGGAGGCAAAGGCAGTGGTGGCGGTGGAGGTTTTGGTTCCGGCTCTGGTTCTGGCTTGGGAGGCGGTAGTGGAGGCTTTGGTCCCGGTGGAGGACATGGTGGTAGCGGCGGTCCTGGTAGTGGAGGCCTTGGTGGTGGACCAGGCAGCGGTGGCCATGGAAGTGGTCTAGGCGGCGGTCATGGTGGTGGTAGTGGTGGAGGCAGCGGTGGAGGTTTCGGATCTGGCCTAGGTGGTGGAAGTGGTGGCGGTGGTTTCGGACCAGGTGGCGGTAGCGGCGGCCATGGTGGTGGTCCTGGCGGTGGCCATGGAGGCGGTCCAAGTGGTGGCAATTCCCTATCGCAAGGCAGCGGTGGTGGTCGTGGTAGTGGTGGAGGCCGTGGTGGTGGTGGTGGTAGTGGATTTGGTTCAGGCACCGGTTTTGGAAGCGGAAGTGACGGCCACAGCAGTTTCTCTAGCAGCAGCGCTAGCTTGGGCGGCGGCCCAGGATCTGGTGGACATGGCAATGGTCTTGGTGGCGGTTTGGGTTCAGGTTCAGGTTCCGGTTTTGGAAGTGGTAGCGGTAGCGGCTTCGGTGGAGGCCATGGTTTCGGTGGTGGCGGTGGCGGTGGCTACGGTGGTGGAGGCGGTGGCGGCTATGGCGGTGGTGGTTACAAAAAACATGGCTACTAATTTCCAAACCCGTTCAATGAAAACTGCATCGATTACTGTGATGATTACTTAATGTTAAATAAAACCGCTTACACATTATTATTTTTTTTTCTTACAAAATATACATATTTTTAGTTTTTTCTCTAATTACCCTTTTATTTTATGGTAAAACATTTTTAGAACTTTCAAATTATGGGGTTCCTAGCTTCATTTACAGCGCACAATGGCCACCAAAACCACCGGATACCAATCCGTTGGACTATTGTGTCTCCAGTATTTTGGAAAGCATGTGACATTCGGGCAGCGTGTGACGGTTTCATTGTCCGTTTGAAGGCCAACGGTGACCAATTTAAACGAATCTGAACTTATTCTAAAATTTGATGCTATTTCTGACTTTTTTGGTTTCATTCAAGAAAATTAAAAAAAAAAAATGTAAAAATGTTGGCCTTTGACTTTGTTAGAGTTTTTTTATCTCACCCTGTATTTGTCATATTTATTATTGCATGCGATTTTCTTATTTTGATTTACAATTATGAATTGTACACAACACTATATGTTGAGAGTTTTATATAGCGGTCGCAATTATGGTCCGATACTTACGAAATTTTGCTTGGGGATAGGATTAGGGTCAGAATTGAAGCCTATTGTTGTTGGAGATGTACACATAGGGGTTCAAATGGAACAAAAAATTAAAATTTTACTGATTTTGCAGTTACTCTACAGGTCACAATTGAAACCCAATCAACAGGGAATTTTGCATGTGAATAGAGTTAGGGTCAAGGCCGAGATCTAGCATTTTGGATGACCATTTAATTATATTTAGCTGAAAAATGAACCACAACTTTTGTGTGAAATTGTTTTGAATACCTAAAAACACGATGGAGTGCGTAAATATTAGGCAAATGTACCTTGTCGTAAAGCTAAGGTAATATCTGGACAGGGCTCAATGACATAGTTTCAAAAACGAAATCTTCCAAAATGGATTTGGACATAAGGGGGCTTCCAACATATTGTATTGTTCATATGGTCGGCCACTAAAGCCTTTGCTTGTTTTTTTTTTTTAATGTAACATAGAAATTTCGTCCTAGGCGAAATGTGTCAGAAGATGAAAAACACATAAAATTTCACTATAAATCTCAGAATAAATTATATACAAAAGTGCATTAGATTTTATGAAAATTACATTCAAAACAAGTCAAGAAGCAGTAAGAACTTTAAATACCCTCCACCATTTGGAACGAACTAGGAAATGCTCACAAAAAAATAAAATCCATTAAAAATTCTGTTCAAATCTTAAAAATACCGAATATAGGGGGGTACCGTTATATGGGGGATATACGATATCGTGCAGCTATATAGACAATTCTCTTTCAGGTAGTAAAGTACTCAAAAGAAACTCCTTGTGTGGAATTACAGACAGCGTTTCAGACACGTATCCGCTCCGGGTCAAAATCTCCCTTTATACTTCATATTTTGGGGAAATTGTCAAAGTAAGAATTATTCTAGACCAACTTACATTGTGATTCTCTGAAGAAAATTATTTTTATACTTATTACTAGCTGAACTCGGTGCGCTTCGCTACCCCTTTTGACTTTATATGCATACAAAATTTCATATTCAAATATATGTTTGCTTAAAAAAATAAAACAAATTCAAAAATTTAAAAATCGGAATTATTGTAATACTTTATTGCGAAAAAAAAAAAAAAACAAATAGCTCTGTCTCCCAACGCGTCAACATGCCAGGAATAGCTGACCATGAGAAAAGTCTTCCATCGGATTTATCAATTTCAATCTGAACCGATGAAATTATATTGAAATTTGACAAATTTTACTTTTACACCAAATTCCGTCACACCTTCCATATTTCATTGAAATTGGTGCGTCAAATACGTGAAATTGACCGAAAATACATATATGGGAGCTTTATCCAAATCTTAACCGCTATACTGAAACATCAACCGATCTCAATATAACTTGGCAATTTTTTTGGTACCAGAATATAAAATCTAAATTTTTGGGAGGTGCCTCCGATTCTGATGCTATATCCCCAGTTCCAAGTGGAATTTCAAAAATTTATATAGCCTATGTTACTTTCAGGCGATGTTGTAGTATAATTGGGAATTTTCAGGAAAATCTGTTCAGCGGCTTTCGAGTCCATAAATTACAAACAAACAAACATACAAACATTTTCTTCTTTTATAGATATAGAGGAAGATGTACCATAAAATGTAAGGCTTATTTTTGAAAAATGTTAATAATTTTTGCCCAATTTGCTGAAAATGTACTATAGTCAGTCTGAGTTGTGGGAAATACCAAATAGATTTGATAGTACTCGTTTTTAGATCAAAACATCGTAACATTTTGGATATAGTTTTGAAATTTGAAAACTCAGATTTCTTTTTCAATAGAAAAATCTCCCTCTCAGTCACTAGATTGCCATACACCTACTACACGTTCACTAAAATTTCATAATAAGCCTTTTCTACGCTCATTTACTTTATAAAATCCTTAAAATTCAAAATAAAAAGTATTTACTTAAGTACACCATTTCGGATGAAATTCTACAGTCAGTTCAATATTCAATTATATAATACTCTTCATTAACTTACGTCACGTATTTCCAGCGGCTGTAAGTCGTAATCCTCACTTTCGGGTGAAAAACAAATGATGTCGTAATGACAGGTCATGTCTGAAATGAAAGAAGACAAAACATTAAATACATAGGCATACAAATATGGGAGGTAGTTGAGTGATGGGTGACTGGATATATTGAATGAGAAAGAAAAATGGCTAAGAATGGATAACGATGCAAGTACGAATGCAAATGTTGTCGAAAACCTATTAGTTACACTGTAAACACACAAAAAATAATTACAGAAAAGTAAATACTTATTATGACGAAGGAGGCATGTGCCACATAGGGAGGACGACATACCACGTTTAATGCCTTTTATAAATATTCCACATAATTGTCCTTTCATGTATCCACTTGACATTTCGTGTTGCCTTTAGGTAGGTTTGTTACAAATGAGCATTAGGTTGATATAAAGAAAGGCAGGGAGAGCACAGCACTATCTCAACACACATAAACCAGTTAAGAAAGGTCAAGAGTCGGGCGGGGCCGACTTTTTGTTACCCTACTATTATGACTAAGGAACAATTTTGAATGGAACGTATATCCTACAGAGAGTCGGTTTCCGCTAAATTAGACGGAGGCATTTTTGACTGAACCGATTTTCACTAAAATCCATCCGATCGGATAGAAATATGTCGTGAAATCGGATGAAGATATATTTTGAAGCTATATCCAAATCGGAATTGTGTTTAAATTCTGTATCTGAAATGATGTCTATAAAATTTATGTAGTGTTTAAATTCTATATCTGAATTTTCGCCTAATTTGAAGTACTTCTTTCTGGGCTGAATTCGGTCGGAAGTGCCAAAATTAGCCATATATTAGCCATTTGGTGCACAATAAACCTGAAATCAGATTAAGATATATATGGGAGCCATATCCAAAATCTAACCGATCTCGATTAGATATCTGGTACGAAATATCATGACTGAGGAGTGCATATTACGAGTCTGAAGAACTTGAAAACAAAATCAGATAAAACATATATATGCGAGCTATATATATAGCTTCTAGGCTGAATTCGGTCGGATGTTCAGAAATAAGTCCTAATTTGGACGAGTATTACATATTTGGCGCACAATAAAATTGAAATCAGACGAAGATATACATGGAATCTATATCCCATTCTAAACCGATTTCGATAAAATTTGACAAACATATTTCTGAGCTCTATGAGATAACTGGTACCAAATATCATTGTTGTAGATTGCACATGACGAATGTGAGGGGATATATAGCTATATCTGAAACTATATTAATCAAATTTGATTTACTTGCTTTTATGACTGCATTCGATCGGAAGTGCCAAAATTTACGCAATGTGGACTGATATCAACCATTTGGTGCACAATTAACCTATATATATATATATATATATATATATATATATATATATATATATATATATATATATACATATATATATATATATATATATATATATATATATATATATATATATATATATATATATATATATGTATATATATATATATATATACATATATATATATATGTCCAGCGATAGTTCTGGGGACATGTTTTCGATACAATGATATTTTTAGGGACATTTTAGTTTTTTGGGGACAGTCCCCGATAAATTATAGATCTAGCGGAAGTTTTGGGGACATTCAACTTTTGGGGACATTTTATATACAAATTGAGTTTGATTGCTTTTTAGGAATATCTGCTTAATATTATTCCTTATGTAAAAGAAATACCTTTATATACATCGGTAATATCAATTTTTTTATAAAATTAAATATTTTATGTTGGGCAGAGTTGCCGTGTTTCGGAAAATTTTCCGAGGCCACTAACACCGTTCTCAAACGATGCTAACGCCGTTATCAAACAAACTAGCGCCGTTATCAAACAATACAAACGAGCTTTGCCATACATGTTTACATTATGTTAAAAAGTAGTAAATAAACATCAAAGTCCCTAAGTTTGACATGAAATTGCATAGATTGCCGATATATGTGATGTATATTGGTCAAGGTTTGTTTATATGGTTTGCCGGTAAGGCCAGCTGTAGTCTTCATTGAATGTCAAAATTAATTTTTCGAAGAATAAATATACGAAAAATATATTTATTCCAACAAAAGTATACGTGCACAATAATACTATTGTGATATTCCGAAAGATATTTTGTATTTTTACCTTGTTATGGTTGATTTTTCGCGATGTAAACGCTTGACAGCACAGGAAAACTAAGGCATGAATTCGCCTCCCGGTAGACCTTATATATAGGCAATGAATCAAAGCAAAAATAAATGAAATATTTTTCAAAACATCGGAACTGTTTAGTCGTAAGTCACTCGAATAAGAATCTCTTTATGAGTCGATTTACGCATGTCCCTCTGTCCATGTATTATTGTAAACCAAATGCAGGTCGCATTTATGATCTGAATGAGATGAAATTTGGCACAGCTCATTTATTTGGTCCAAGGACGAACCCTATTGAAATTGGTGGAAATAGGTTCAGATTTAAATATAGCTCCCCTATATATTTTCGTCCGATTTCCCTAAATGGTGCACTAAAGGCCCAATCTTTCTCCGGTTACGAATTTTTGCACAACATACCAAATTGAGCCTATAATGACGTGTGTTTAGTTTTGTTGAAATCGGTTTAGATTTTGATATAGCTCCCATATATATTTTCGGCCAATTTCTCCTAAATGATGCACTAATTAACGCAAATTTTTCCCGATTGCGACGAAATTTTGCACAACGTATCAAATTCAGCATATAATGACATGTGTTAAGTTTTGTTGAAATCGTTTCCAATTTTGATATACCTCCCATATATATCTTCGGTCGATTTCTCCTAAATGGTGCACTAAGGCCCAATGTTTGTCGGATTAAGTCGAAATTGTTCACAACGTATAAAATTGAGCCTATAATGAATCGAACTAGCTTTGGAAGTTGGGTTTACCATTTATATCAAATCGGACAAAAATGTGTATGAGTGGTATATCTAGATCGGAACTGATTTTGTCCAATTTCCTAGTTCCGGGGTCAAACAAATAAGCTTTACCAAATTTAATCTCAATCGAATCATAAATTAGACCTGTACTTTTTTTACAATTTAACAAGGACGGACAGAAGACAAACGTATTCTATGTATATTCTTAAAAGTAACTAAACATTATCTTGTTAACTTTTGCTTGTTACAAACATATGCAAAAAGACATAATACCTCTTACCACAAAAAGTGGACCAATATCTATAATTTTGAAGGAGGATTTGCCCAACACCTGTATTATACAACTCTTACATACATTTTAGACTGATTTCATCTAAATGGTGTACCAGATACCTAGTTTTTTTGTGATTGAAACGAAAATGTACACAGCTACACAATTGAACCACATGTTTTAAATTTGTTCTAATATAAATGGTCATATACATACCAAACCATTTAATATAGCTTTGTTGAAATCGGTTGAAATCAGTTCCGATTTAAATAAATTTTAATCGAACAAACTTTGGATGTTGGTTGGGTTTACCATTTATACCATATCGTTCGAAAATGTATATGAGTGGTATATCTGAACTGATTTTCTCCAATTTCAACGAACGAACCCTAGTTCTTGGGTCAAATAAATGAGCTTTACCAAATTGCATATCAATCGGATCATAATTTTGCCCTGTACTTTGCACGAAATTTGGCACAATGTACTGAATTAAGCCTAGAATGAGGTGTACAAATTTTCGTGTTAATAGGACAAAAATATACGTGGGGGCTTTATCTAAATCTGAACCGATTTTTTTAGCACACTAGCACACATCATTCTAGACTCAATTCCTTAGCACACATCTAGACTCAATTCAGTACGGATGAAAATATATATGGGGGCTATATCTAAATCTGAACCGCTTTTCACGAAACATAGCACACATCATTCTAGGCTGAATTCAGTACGATGTGCCAAATTTCGTGCAAATCGAAAGATATTTAGGAACTTTGGTGCACCATTTACCTTAAATCGGACGAATATATATATATATAGGAGCTATATCTAAATCTGAACCTATTTTCACGAAATTTCGCACACCTCATAGGCTTAATTAAGTACGTTGTGCCATATATGGGAGCTATTTCTAAATCTGAACCGATTTTTCCCAATTTCAATAGGGTTCGTCCTTGGGCCAAATGACTGAGCTGTGCCAAATTTCATACAATTCGAATAATAAATGCGACCTGTACTTTGTTTACAATTTAACATGGACAGACAGACGGACGGACATGCATAAATCGACTTAGACGTGATTCTATGCATATTCTCAAAAGGAACCATGTGTCTATCTCGTTTCCTTTTGCCTGTTACAAACATATGCACAAAGACAATACCCTGTACCACAGTGTGGTGAAGGGTATAAAAATAATCAATCATTCCATATACGAAGCCAATTTTTACAAAAATTACAATATTTCCAATTTCTATCTACTATCCTTCTTCAAATAAAATTCACCTCAATCACAATTCTTTACACAAACAGTAAAAAATCTCTATTATTTATTTTCCACTAAAGTACATGTAATAAGAAAGGTATAAAACTTAAATACTACGATTACAAAGAAATCCTTTTGAAAAGCTTAATTATACTACGCCTTTTTCATTTTCTTATTAGCGTTGGCCAACTTGGCTTTAAGCGCCTTAACTTCCAACTTATTATCATGCCCATCGGCGGAACGTTTCTTTGCCGCTGACGACGGTGAATCTTCTGTAGGCGGGATAAACTATTTTTGACGTTTCTCTTCTTGTTTCTTCGCAGCCTCAGATCGTTTGGCATTACTCTCCTCCTCTTGCTTGCGTTGTTGTTTCTGTTCTTTGCTAAGGAAATATTCAGCCGAAGCCGAAGAATTGTTTATCGATTTTGCTTTCGGGTTGTGCCGGTGGGAATGGTGTGTATTCCTTCTTTTGTTTCTTAACCTTGGTTTGTTTACGTTTGCTGATATTCTTGTTCTAGAATTTGGGCAGGAAACGCGACCAATCCTCATTGGCCAATTTTGGATATTTTATAAGTTCCCGTTTGATCATGATTGCCTTG